TGCTCTTGGATGTGTACCATCCCGTGAATGGGCCCTGTTCCTGGGAGAACCTGACTAATACAGACTCACGCTTTTGATATCACAGTCAAGAAAATATTTCCAAAGTAATGAAGAATTTCTCATATGATTTCTTGAAGAGCTTTACAGCTTTGATCCGATTAGAGTTCATTTTTATGCATCATATAAAGTAAGTGTCTAATTTCATTCTTTTGCATATCCAGTTTTCCCCAGCACCATGGTTGGAGAGGGTGTCTGTCCCTTCCCCCATGGACTATTCTTGTCACTACTGCCAAGAACCAAACCCCAGGGCTGGAGAGAAGCTCAGATACTAAGGGCACTTATTGCTCTTCCACAGGACCTGAGCTTGGTTCCCAGCACCCCACAAGGCAGCTCACAACCGCCTGTAACTCCAGTTCCAGGGGATCTGTTGCCCTCTCTGTGAGGAGATGTATATACATGGTATATACTTACATTCACATACATACATAAAAATAAATCTTTAAAATTATGCATTTAGAGAGATGACTCAGTGGTTAAGAGCATTTACTCTCTCACAGAAGACCTGGATTCAGTTCCCAACAGTCACATGGTGGCTCACAACTATCTGTCACTCCATTTCCAGGGTTCTCTTCTGGTCCCTACAGGCATACATACATACATACATACATACATACATACATACATACATGTAGACAAGACACTCACACATAAAAAACCAAATCTTTAAAAATAATTTTAAGACAGGTGGTGATGGCACACACCTTTAATCCCAGAGCTTGGGAGGCAGAGGCAGGGGTATCTCTATGAGTTCAAGGCCAGCCTAGTCTACAAAGCTACACAGAGAAACCCTGTCTCAAAAAAAATTTTAAATATACACATCTCTAACATTTCAAAAGACCAAATGCTATACTCCCAGCACTTGGAAGGCTGAGGAAGAAGGGTAATAAGTTCAGGGCCAGCCTGGGCTACATAGCATGATCCTGTGTGCATGTGCGAGATGTATAAAGCCAATGGCTAGAGTGATAGATCAGTGAGTAAGAGTATTTGCTGTGTACGTGTGAGGGTCTGAGTTTTGATCTCAGCACCCATGTAAGAAGCTGTGTGTGGACATGTGTGCTTATAACCCCAGCACTTCGGGGGCAGAGATACACAAGAGTGTTGCTGGGGTGTGCTGGCTGAGAGCCTAGCTCCAGGTTCAGTGAGAGACCCTGTCTCAAGGAAATAAGACAACATTGACACAGACACACACCACACACACACACACACACACACACACACACACACACACACACACACACACACACACACGAATCAAACATTGTATAGATTATTACTTCAAGATGGACAGTGGAGGGAGTTGGCAGCCCTGAGGACCCTTTCAGGCACACAGAAGAACTGACAGAGGATGGAGAGCGAGGCCTCACCCTCCTTCCCACCACCCTCTGTCTGACAAGAGGTGCTGAGAATGATGAGGCTTGTCACTTTAAAAAGAGCAGGGGCAGAAGAGTGTGACCTGACTGTGAAGTGCCCCCCAGAGGCTCACTTGTTTGAACACCTGGACCCCAAAAGGTGGCTGTTTTAGGGGCTTGGGACCTTTAGGAGGTGGAGCCTTGCTAGCAGAAGTGGCCTGTCCTCGAGTCCTGCCTACTCTCTGCTTCCTGACTGCAGATGCAATGTGATCAGCCGCTCACACTCCAGCTGCCATGCCTTCCCCAACCATGGGAACTGTTCCTTCTTAAAGTAGGAAAAAAAACAAGTCCTTCTCTCCTTAAAGTGAAGCCTTTTAAATCTATTTAAACTTAAATATCATCTTAAATAAAATTCAATAAAGGAATAGAAATAAGAGCAGGCAAGGTGAGGACCTGGAGGCCCAATGTGTCTCCAACTCCATGACCCTAGCAAGTGACTTAGCTTTCCACAACACAACTCCAGGCCTATAGAAGAAAAGTCATGCCAGATGGAGATGGCTACATGCCATCCATCCGTCCCTTCCCTACTCTGGTAGCCAACCCACCACACCCTGTTTTCCAGCCTTTCACCAAGGGTGGATAGCTGGCCTGGCCTAACCAATCTGCCTGTCTACCCAGTCACTATATGATCCTCACAGGTGCTAACAAGTTCTCAAATGGTTTGTCCTATGTGCAAAGAGCGGGGGCCCTCTCTTCCCATGAGACTGCGGGCTCTAGAGGCTGTCTGGACCTATGCTGACTTGATTTTCTTTTTCTTTTAGCATGGAGAGACTGTGCCTGAAAGCTGAGCCAACAGAAATACATGTCTGGCTATGTGCTAGAATGAATGAGAGGCAGTCTAGACTTAATGACTCCCGCTAAGCCTAAAGTCTACTCTTTGCTGAGGGAACTCATCCAGTAAATAGTCTTTGAGGTCCCTGCCCCTAGAAAAAGAACCAAAGGGGAATGGATGGGATGGGATATAGGTTGATTACTACATCTACTTGTGAACTATTTTAACAACTATTACCTATAGACAACTTACATTGACATAGCTTCTTGTATATTGATACTTATGTAAAATTAACTTTGTATTCCTGTCTTAGATAATTTATATATTGTTACAAACTTGATATTATGTTTGTCATATTGTGTAGGTTCCTCTTTTTTTTTTAAGGTTTACTTATTTATTTGTATACAGCTTTCTGCCTGCATGTATCCATGCAAGCCAGAAGAGGGCACCAGATCTCATCACAGATGGTTGTGAGACACCAGGTGGTTGCTGGGAATTGCACTCACGACCTCTGGTACAACAGTCAGCACTCCTAACCTCTGAGCCATCTCTCCAACCCCGTGTAGGTTCTCTTTCTGTTTACAATGGTTTTGCACACAAATGTAAAGTTATTTTTATCATATTGTATGTATGTGTGTATGTTTCCACATATGCTTAAGATATTTTGTATATTGATATAATTTAAGAATATTTTTGTCATTTTGCACTATACAATTCTATCTCTGATCAAGATATTTACATATATGTAGATAGTTACAATTTCGAGGTCACTGCCCTCATGCTGCACATCTGTTTAAAGGTTGTTTATTTTATATATGTGAAGCTTCAGTCAGTAAACAACAGATGTTTCCAAGAATTACAGGTTATAGTCACCCATGCTTCTCATACCCAGCTGTGTTAGTCAGGTTCTCTAGATGCTCAGGGCTATACTCAGCATAGATGTTTGATCTTCAAACGCTTCAAAGACCTACAGAATATGGCATTTAAATGTTTTCATAATTTAGAACTCTGTTGACATGAGACACAATTGCTCCTGGCAGCACAGAGCTATTCCCAGAGTATGATGGGCCGTGGAGACACTCCATTTGGGGTTTGTTTTCTTCTTGATAAACTGACCTATTGGGCAAATAACTGCCCTTGCCTCAACTACTGACAGTGGACATGATGTCCTAATTGGACAAGCAGGATATAAGCAAAAAGAGACCTGAGCCTTGCCAAGTCAGGGTAGGACAGGCTTTCAATTTTTCCTGCTTCTGATAATGGTCTTTCAAATATTCTAGGCCTTAGGCAAAGCTGGTCACCCAGCTGTTACTGTGAGACCTTGGGGGACTGTCCAGGCAGCCAGCTGTTTCTGTCATTTCCTGCACCTTTGGGAAGTTTCCTTCTCGGGTCTTTGATGGGGTTGAAGACTTACAGTCTCAGCTACTGTCCTCTCATATCTTAGCTAAGGCATTTAGGTACAAGACTCAGACTCCTCAGCATAGGACAGCTGTTGAAATAATCTCTTTTATTTACCAATTACCTATAGCCTGAACATTTAGGGTATGTTTCTTGTTTGTTGATGTTCTTATTGGTTGTAGTTCTACTTTGTATACGTTGTTAACCTTTTCTTTCTCCTGGACAATACTTGATATTTGTTCTTACTGTATATAGTTTTGTTTTAGGTTTAGAACCCTCTTTTTTAGACAAAAAGGGGAATTGCTGTGGGAACTCATTCAGTCAGTTGTCTTTAAGGTACCCGCCACCTTTGCCTGGCCCCTTTCTCTATTTTATATACCTTTCTTCTTCTTACTCTGTAGCTGGCTGCGTGGCTGCATGACTGGGCCCTGGTGTCCTCCCCTCCTTCCTCCCTCTCTCTTGTTCCTCCCTCTCTCTTCTCCTTTTATTTATTCTCTCTGCCCAGCAGTCCTGCCTGGACCTCTCCCGCCTAGTTGTCAGGTATTTTAGGCAGGCAAGTAACAGCTTCACAGGGTTAAACAAACATAACAGAATGCAACAAACACATCTTTGCATCATTAAACAAATGTTCCACAGTATAAACAAGTGTAACACATCTTAAACTAAAATCCCATGACAAGGAGCCATCGCAGCATTGTCCTGGGAGTGTGTGTGTGTGGGGTGCAGAGCCATCTCCTTCCCTCTCTGTCCTTCTGCTGAGTTCCACAACCCCAGCTGGCTGCAGCCAGACTCCCTGTCCTGAGAATCATCTGTGGTCAGAGACAGTGATGCCAACACAGAGAGAAGGATGAAGAAGGCATGAGTGCCAGAGCCCAGGACACATGTTGCTGGAGCCCAAGTTCTCTGCAAGCCAGCCTCCCCAGCTACTCCTGCCAGGCAACCTGTAAGATTATGAACTGTCCCCGTGGCTGGAGTGTTCTTGACTGATGTCCAGGGTATAAATTATGCACTGGATCAGCTGGACATCTGGGACATTCTATCTTTGTTCATGGCATAGAGAAGGCCAGCATCCCTTCTGGCTATATGGCTCTTGCTGTGTCTGAAGCAGACAGTCTTAGACAGAGACAGGTAAAGCTGATATGCACTCAGACCTGTTCTCTGCAACCTTAAAATCCTTTGCCGGAACTCATAGCCTCATACATGGTAGACAAGCAATGAACCACATCTCTAGGTCTTTCTAGCCTACGTAAGAGGTAGAAAAATACCGTGCAATGGGGTCTAGATGACAGACACTCAGATTACCTCTCTGTGGCTCCATTCTATGTCCTACCTTTTGTGCCCGACACAGCAGCCTAAGTCTCTTTAATTGTGTCATTGAGTATTTATTAAGCACATACTGTGTACCAAGTTTTGTCTCATGAGCCACAATACAATAACGAGCAAAATAAAGCTAGCATTGTGGTGGGGGAGGGGTACAAATAAAGGGTGACAAAGAAGCACCAGACCGCAGGAGTTTGAGAGCATCCTCCATGAGCAACACAGTGAGACACTGTTACCCCTTCCAAAACCAACCCCCCCAATCAACCTCACTGAAGCTTGCACCTTAAAACTGACTTGGAGCTAGCTAGCAAGGTGGGAAGAGCACTGAGGACCTGGGTTCTATTCCCGAGACTCACATGGTGAAAGGAGAGAACTCATTTCCAAAAGTTGTCCTCTGACCTGCACACGTGTGCTGTGACACATATACCTGTACAGGTATACATAAATAAATGTAAAGAAAATAAGGGAATGTTCCAGTGCTTGGGAGGCAGATCCAGGTGGATGGATCTCTGTGGGTTCAGGGTCAGCCTGGTCTACATAGTGAGTTCCAGGACAGCTAGAGCTGTTACACAGAGAAACCCTGTCTTAGGGGAAAAAATCTACTTTTGAATGGGTTCAGGGGATTGGAACTCAGTCCCCTGAGTTTGGGGAGGTAAGTGCTTTACTCGCTGAGTCATTTCACCAGCGTTCCAGCCCCCTAACAAGAAGAGGGGATAGAGAGACATGCTCTGGGTCTCGAGTGTGTACTGCTTTTGTGCAGGACCCTGGGTTCTGTTCCCAGTACCCTCAGTCATGTGACTCAAAACCACCTGTAGCTCCAGTTCCAAGGGATCCCGTGCCCTCTTTTGGCCTCCTCAGACTCCTGCATGTCTGAGGAACACACAATTTAACTCATGAAGACTCGTACATATACACATCAGAAACAAAGCACGAATCTTTTTACAAGCAAGAAGAAACCAGGGGAAAACAGAGCCTCTGGGAGAGGCAGTGTGCCCAACTCGCTTGGTGTAGCTGTGCTCAACACATACAGCGAAGTCATACGTGGTAACCTCTGTTTACCGAGGGGACAGAGAACCACGAAGAACGACTCCCTCTGGGTGATGCAAGTACACGAATCCTTCCACTTAGATGTGAGCGAGCCTGGATCTGCATCAAGGACACCTGGCATGAAGGAACAGTCACAAGTGCCACGCTCCCCTTCCCTGAGTGACCCTTTCCTTGAGTCACCCTTTATAGAGTCTCCCTGGAATAGGGGTGGGGGAGAGGAGGAGAAACCCCAGGACTGGCCCAGGGAAGGAGAAAGGCTGAGAACCCTTACCCTGGCGGTGGGAGAGAGCTTTTGGAACATTGTCAGGAAGCCAGCCCAGAGTCTGATCTCCGTGGGCACTGATGGAAGCCTCCTGGAAAGAGGACGAATCAATGTTGACGACCCCCATGCCAGCAAGATCTGGAGAATGGAAGGAAAGGGTGGGGGGTTCCAAAAAGAGTCCCTGGAGAGCATAGGTCAGGGGAGAGGTAAGGACACAGGCCAGCCAGAGGTTGAGCCCAGCAGAAAGACCGCTGCACTGTGGAACTAACACAGTGGAGGACCGGGCACACCAGGGGACACCGCACAGAGCACAGCAGGTGTCTGTCTGCTCTATGGTGGAGGAAGGACAAAGCTGCTCGCTTGTGATGAAGCAAGACAGCTGCTTCATGATCTCTGCTGCCTAGCAGATGCATCCCCTTTTGCCCTCTTCAAACTAAGGCCGTCCGGTCTATTCCCAGACAGACACTTGAGGCTCAAGACAGTCAGCCGCAGACTGCAAACAGAGCATGGTGCTAATCCCAGCACTCAGGAGACAGAGGCAGGGGGATCTCTGCGAGTTTGAGATCAGCCTGGTCTACATAGTGAGTTCCAGGACAGGTAGGGCTACAGATTGATACCCTGTCTCCAGGGAAGGAGAAGTAGTTAAATCACGAATCTAGACATGTAGCTGGGATTTGAACTAGGGGTCCCTGCTCTTAGTCACATCCTGAAGTGTTTGAGACTGGGAACTGTGTTGAACAGAATTTGGGGCGGAGGCACCGAGAAAGGGTCAGAACTCTTCAGGGAGATTGGCAGCCAGGTAGGCAAGAAAACTTGGTTTTAGAGAGCCTATGGCAAAGAGGGAGCAACTGGCTATCTGGACAACCCTAGATCTCCACCTAGTGGACAGAAAGAGTCATTTTTTTAATTGGCTGGAGATACCGATCCAATCAGGTCATTTCTCCCTCCAGCAAGGACACACCTCCACATGAGCCTGAGTTCCAGAGAAAGACGGGTCCCACCAGTCAGTTCACAAGAACTAACATCTGTAGCCCTCCTCTGGGGAGGGGGAGAATTGATACACTCCTAGATTATATCCCCCAGGCTTCCATTTCAGGCTTACCTTCAGGAGAGGCAGTGCACAGTATACACTGTATCTCCTAATCCTCCAGCAGTTAGGTGTTGTGATCTCTGCTGATGCAAACAGGGAGGGCAAAACGGCAGTCTCTGATTGCTAAGTATAAAACTCTTTGCTAGGAGCCGGGCGTTGGTGGCGCACGCCTTTAATCCCAGCACTCGGGAAGCAGAGGCAGGCGGATCTCTGTGAGTTTGAGGCCGGGCTGGACCAACAGCCTCCAAAACAATACAGAGAAACCCTGTCTCGTAAAAACAAAAACAAAAACAAAAACAAAAAAAAGAAAGAAAAAAAAACTCTTTGCTAGGTACCCAACACAGAGCAAAGGAGGACGGAAGGATCCTGGAGGAACCAGTGGGCCCAGTTTTGAAGGAAGGCAGCATGGCGTATTGCAGAAGAAGGTCCCGAGGCAAGATCCCTAAGAGCAGCCTAGAACAGGGCCTGGAATAGGGCTTGGGGAGCAGGCAGGACCCACAAGCCCAGTGCCAGACTAAAGAGCCTGGACACCCTAGAAGTTCTGCAAGTTTTGGAGGGTTTCCAGCAGGCTAACCACCTCACGCAGGGTATGCAGGGACTACTCAGCAGCAGGCATGCTAGGAGGCAGGCACCACAGTGGTCACAGGTAGAGCAGCATGCCCTGCAGTGGGAGGAGCAAGCTTTTTACTTTGGGATTCAGGGAGTACCAAACTGCCAGGGCACAGAGAATTATCAGCTCTGCATAGAGAGCAGGGTTAGAAGGCTAGTAACACCTGCATGTAACCAGCCTGGAACCTTCTACATCAGTGAGAAATCCTCTGCAAACACACACACACACACACACACACACACACACACACACACACACACACACGCACACACGTTTCTATCACCCAACCTGGCCCTTGGTTCTGAGGAGGCCTTGGCTGGCTAGGTTTGAAGCTGGATGCCCTCAGAAGGCGCTCTACAACAGACTCTAAGTGGTCCTGGAGGAGGACTTTGGTCTAGGGCTTGAGCAGGAGTGTCCAGGAGGAATTCTCCTGTAGGCCCTGCTTCTGGAGGGTGAAATTCATTCATTAGTTCATTTATTCATTCGTTTCTACTTTGAATTCTTGTGATAGCCCTCTTATTTGTTTGAGCATTTTTACATCTGGGGTCCCAGCGATGAGCAAAAAAGACACCAGCTGCCCCTTGGGGGAGCCAATGATCTTGTAGGACACCAAGGTTTGATGAAATCCATACTTCCCCAGAGGAGAATTGGCAGTGCATAGGGTCTCACAGAAAAAGACTGAGCCCCAGGAAAGTAGGGGTAGGGGAGAGCCTGCCTGTTTGTCTTTAAGACAGGATCTCACTATATTCTACAGGGTGGCTCAGTGTCTTTTCTTTTTTGTTTGGAGGGAGAGTTTGTTTGTTTGAGATAGGAATCTGTGTAGTCCAGACCTGCCTTCATCTCATAGCGATACTCCGGTCTCCGCCTCCTAACTGCCAGGATTTCAGGCCTGAGCCCTCATACCCACTAACTGATCCTACTGCTTCAGCTTCCTCTATGCCTGAGTGTATCCGTATATGAACAGCCTTTGTGATTACAGGACTGTGTTTGCATGTGGTCAAGTGGGCGGGGCACCTCTGCAAATGTCTATTTGTGGCTATTAGTGTGTATGTCGTCTCCATGTGCCTGTAGCCATAGGTGACTGTGGAGATGTGGGGGTGGGGGGTGACTTGCTCAAACCTAAGAGGTTTCCATTGCACAGGATGTCAGTGCTGAGACCAGAAGTCTTATGGGCAAACTAGGAAAGACTAGAAGCAGATAGATGATCTGAGAAGGGAGTAAGATCCCAGGTTGGGGCAAAGAGAACTAAGGAACTATGCATCTACTCCAGGACTAAATAAAATTACTCCTATGACATCCCATCATGAAGACTGGGGTCAAACAACCTGGGGGAATCTCATGCCCAGAGTGCATAGAGCAGGAACCCTTGGGGCTCTGGGAAAGAGCGCTGGGTGGGGAAGACTCTGTGATCTGTTTCTTAGCTCCCTTGACCTTGGACAGGTCTAAGCCTTGACTTTTCCTCTCTGAAACGGAAGCTCCCATTCCAAGAATAAGAGATGTGTTTGCCATGTAGTGGCTCGTCCACAGTTCCTGTCAAGCTGAGGAGCAGTTGCCATGGAGACAGAGGACATCCTGTTCTCTTCAAGAAAGAAAAATAAAAGTGAAGATGGGTCATGTCTAAGGACCCTGCTAGACCAATGTGACGCCAACAGCCATCTTGGTCTCCTGAGCTTGGGGTATAATCCAGGCCACTTCTCCCACAGAAACAGATTCTGGCCAGGATCAGGGCTCATCAGCCGGCAGCAAAGGCCCTTTTGCCCTTTCCCAGCAGTGAGGCTGACTCGTACCCGTCATCACCTCATTAGCTGCTATTGCCAAGGGCCCTGCCCATGGAATTTCACAAGAGTCCTGTCCTTTATTTACTGAATATCCTGAAGCTCTTCGTTTCTCTGAACCCCAATGTCATCCTCTATGGTTCATGATCACCATACCACCCTGAAATGACCCTCAAGGAGAGCCCTCATATGCAAGCACTTTGAATATGACCAAGCCTTTCCTTCACTCAGGGAAGGAATGAGTCCATGTAAATAGCACAGATCTAGGGGATACCCCTTAATGGGGGAACCTCAAAAGCCTTCCACTGGTATCACTTTCTCTCCTTGGGGAGAAGCCACATGCAGTCTGTCAGCAAACCGTGGTGCTGGAGGCCACAGTCACCTCCTCACAACCCAAACTCAGCTTGGTAGGAAGACTGACGGGTGATAGCCACATCCCACAGGGACCGGAGGCAGCTGGAGCCAGCTGGTTCCCTGAGGGTTTCAGAACCTGGAATGAAATTTCCTAATTGGGAATTCATCCAGGCCACCAATCCTGCCCCCACCCCAAGAATCTTAGCAACAGTCAAAGTCGCCAAGGTCTATCTCTATCTCTCCCTGACTCTCCCACAAAGTCCCCAAGGTCTGTGAATGGTTCTCTCTCTCTCTCTCTCTCTCTCTCTCTCTCTCTCTCTCTCTCTCTCTCTCTCTCTCTCTCTCTCTCTCTCTCTCTCTCTCTCTCTCTCTCTCTCTGGCCCAGGTTCCTTAAGGATTAGGTGTTTGTCAGGGGAGGGGAATATCAGCTTGTCACTCACATACATGTCACTCTGATTTAGTCCATCCCATTTACTTTGCCAAGGAGGATTCCAGAGTCTCACAGCTAGAGGCCCACCTGATGGGGAGAGAGATGCAGAGCCTGGCTGGCTGGGGTGGCAACTGGACAGGTCCTAGCTGTGTGTTAAATACAGTATTCTATCTTATGTGCATTGGTGTAAGGGTGTCAGACCCCCTGGAACTGGAGTTACAGACAGTTGTGAGCTGCCATGTGGGTGCTGGGAATAGAACCCGGGTCCTCTGAAAGAGCAGCCAGTGCTCTTAACTACTGAGCCATCTCTCCAGCCCCGTAGCTGTGTGTTCTTAAAAGGTGTGTGTAGCCTTCTTCCCTGGTGGTGTGCTTCTGGAATCTTCAGTGCTTAACTTCCAAGAATCGCCCCTACTCTAAACGTGCCATTTCTTAGCTATCAGGCCTTCCTCTTTACCCATGCTGAGTCTCCAACTCAAACCTGACCCAGAGCCTCTGGCTGCTCACCCCTGCGCCCTTCTTACTCAGCACCCCTCCTGCTGGAAAAACTGAAGATCCAAAGTCACGACCCTTGGTCCTCAAGTACACTGTTCCCAAGTGTATGCCCAGCAGTCTCTTCGTGTGACCTTGAAGATCTGGGTGAGGCTGAGCAGGTGAAGGTAAGAGCTGACAAGTGCCTTGGTCAGCCCTTACATAAACCCAGGGAGCCCCACAGTCTAATACGCCAAAGGCATATCTTCAGTGTTCATGGAAGCCAGCCCCGATTGCGCTTCAGAGAGCCAGGAAGGCCAGAGGCAAGCTCCCTCCCTGTCCTAAGAGGGATCCGGAGGGCCCCAGCCCAGGCAGACACATTAAAGGTTGTTGTTTCGCAGTCCGGCTTCACAGGGCTGGGAGCTGGCACTACAGGGCAGTTCCAAAAAGAAGACCCTACACCAAGATTGGAGCTCTCTAGTCGGTGACCGCAATCGTCTTCAGTAGCCTCTCGCAAGTTTCTGGGTTTGGACCTACAATGGTCCGAAGTTCTGTCTCACAGCCCATTTCCCAGATCCAGTGCATCTCTGGCGCTGGTAGGCAGAGTGCTAGCCGGCTGCGGACCGGCCCCTGGCCTGGAGCGCCATCTCGTGGACATGTGGGGAGTTCCTTCAGACTGAGAACCGGGCAGGCTCCCGGGTCCGGACCAGCTTCAAAAGGGAATGAGGTCGGGGTCCTCGGCACCAACAAACCCGATTGGACAGATGTGCGCCCCTAGAGGGCCCAAAAGAAACTCCGAGGGGCAAACAGTCCTTCGCACACCAACACTTTCCCTGCGGGGCCACCGGCCTGCACTCCGGAGGATACGACGTAATGTCCAGGGACCACCTGGAGCGTCCAGGTCCCTCCAGCGCTCGGGGTTGTCCTCCTGGCTGCTTCCCAGTCCTTAGAGCCCGGGACTCTGGACCTTTGACTGGCCCCTGCCTACCCGATGGAGCTCCGAACTTCGGGGTCCAGGGCGGAGACGCGGAGGGAGTACCGGAGGAGGAAGCGAGATTGGTCGTTCTCAAACTAGAAAGAAGGAGAGCTCAGAGTTGCAATTCCCACCTCTCTCAGACCTGTCCCTCTGCAGCCACCTTCTTCTAGAGAAGCAGGGGCGGAGCCTGAGCCCGGGTAATGGAGGGCGGGTGTCCGGGAGATCCCCGAGCGGCGCGCTCCGCCCCTAGCTCGAGAAGGTGGAGCCCAGTGCCACGCCCTCCGGGAGGGCAGGGCCTACTACAGAGGCTCAGATGCCCTCGTCACAACCGAGAAGTTGGGAGGAAGGAATAGCTTGAGGACTCCGATTAACTGTGTCCTAGGTCTTGGGATCCATGTATTTGAGCCGCTAGGGGTCTCACCGAGCCCCCAAATTCTGAATTTCCCAGTTCTCCAGTGACTCACACTCAGTCCTAAACCAGCACACACAATTCTGTCAGACCCCACAATACCCATTAGAGATTCTAGGCGACACGCTAAATCATCCACCAACAGGCCTCAACGACCCCTCGATCCCCATCGCTCGCACAAGCCCCTCTGCTGACTTTGCTGTCCAAGGCCCTTGGTAGCAGGCCCTGAAGGGTTAAGAAAGGCCGTGGGGCACCGGAGCAGCGGGTACAGCGGGCGCCTGAGCTAATTGGCGACCCCAGAGACAATGAAGGCTGGAAGGCTGGGAAGGCTGGTGGCTTAATTGGGCCTGGGAGTGGCTGGTCTTTGTCTGGCCGCACCACTTGGCCTTGCAACTGGGGCCCAGCTGAGCACTGGGTGGGCAACTCCGGGAGGGGGACGTGTACGGCCGAAAGAAAGGGGGCGGGAGGACTCTCCAATCTGCGCTCCGGGATCTGAAGTAGTACCCAACCCGAGTTGCTGCACAGCAACCGCCAGAATGTAGCAGCCACCAGGCTGCTGCAGCCAGCCTTCAAAGACAGACCCCTCCCCCTCCGGTGGCTGTTCTGCCATGCCCATCACCTCAGGTGGTGCCCCCTGGTGTCCGCAGGCCACTGGGTACCCACCCCCAACTCCAGCATTCTCTCCTGGATGAAGGTGAGAGGCCACAAAAAGTCAGTGCAAGCCCTGCTCTGTGGACTTTACAGGCGTTTCAACCCGACTCGACCTCGAATAAACGCAGAGATAAGGAGAGGTGCTTTGGGGGGGCTTTCCTGCTCCTACTTGGTTCGTGGACCCCATTGTGGGCTCAGTTCAAGTAGATCAGAGACAGGGAAGCCATAACCCACCTAGGGTTGGATGAGATCTTCTACAACCTCTGCCCACTCAAAGCTTTCAGCTTAGTTTGGGCAGCCTTCTCCCAGGAAGGGTGGACAGTTTTTTTCCTTGCAAATGTGTCATCCCAGGAGTCCTGAGCATTTGGAGGCCCAGAACTTTCAATTCTACCTGCGTCTTCACCCTCCCTTTCGAATCACTATCCCTGATGTCCCTGGACTAGCTGGAAGCCATACAAACCCCAGGAGTGCACCGAGTCTAAAGAGGAAACCTCCTTGGTCAACCGTGGACTCAGAGGAAGGAAGGGAGGGAGGGAGGAGGGAGGGAGGGAGGGAGGGAGGGAGGGAGGGGGGAGGGAGGGAGGAAGGAAGGAAGGAAGGAAGGAAGGGGAAGGGAAGGTGCTCAACGACCCAGACCCAGGGACATGTTGAAGGAGTCGGTGCTCGCCAGCCGCCCCCGACTTGGGTTAGGGACTGACAGCACCTGGCAGTTGGGTGATAATGGGAAGAGAAGGCTGTCGCCTTCTGGAGCGAAATGGGTGGGAGCAGCCAGCTGTCCTTGATGAGTGGGGGAGCACTAGCCCAATGGGACTGGTGAACACAGTGGACCCCCTTGAAAGTCGGCAGCCATCTGAGGCAGGGTCCACACTCACACCTCCCGGAGTTAGTCGAGTTCTAAGGACGAATTTTTAGGCAAGACTTCGCCACTCCAATCAGCAGCTCAAACACCAAATGATTCCAGGAGGCAGTGATGGGGAAGAATTCTGGAAGCCGTGGTGTTGAAGGAACGCGACCTTCCCCAATACACCCACTTTCCCACACCATGTACCCAGAAAGCGTTGCAAAAGGGTGAAGAGTGGGTCCTCGGTGTCCTAGAAAGAGTGGGCCCACAGCGTCCTAGAAAGAGAGTCGAGACCAGGCCCGAGGCCGCTCAGCTCTTCAGCTCTTGACATGGCTCCAGAGACCAGGTTCCGGGAGCAGCAGGAGCTGCGGACACACAGCTAGTGGCCAGCAGAGGGAGCCCGGGCCGCGGGCCTGGGTCGCGGGGACTGCGATGCTGAGCGACGCCTCCAGGCCCAGGCTGTGCTGGGCGCCGGCGCCTGGGGCCCCCGCAGCTCTGCACGCGGCTCAGACGTGCAGCCGCCGAGGCCGAGGTGCAGCTGCCAGGCAGATAGGGGCGCCCAGCCTTTGTCCCCGCCTCGCTCCCTTCTTTTGCGCCCACAGAGTCCCAGCCCCGGGCGGCCCACAGAGCGCACAGCGCGGTTCACTTCGCATCGTAGCGTTTTATTTTTCGCTCGCTTCGTTCTCCCTCTGGAGCAAAAAGTGAAAACCTGAGGTGGGGCCCGTGAGCCGGGCTGTCAAAGCCGGGCGCAGAGGATGTGGGGCCCGTGGAGTGGGCCTTCCCTGGGGTTCAGTGCCTCCCACTTCCCCAGCAGCCAAAGATCCTGGGGCCCTGTACAATATAGATGCTCATGTAAAATGAAAAAAAATTAAATGCTATGAGTTAATCTCTAAATATATGTACACTGCAATGTACACCTTTGAATAAATTAATACGAATTTGCATCTTCTGCGAACCTTAAAGCTTATTTACACAAATTACCATTTATTTCATAAATATCCTTTGCCCCCTGGGGACTCAAAGCAGAAATGCAGCTTCCTCCGCTGACCCAGGAGTAGGAGGAGTAGGAGTGGTGGCGCCTGTCTCTGGCTGGGTAGAGGTGGGAAGACCAAATGGACAGGACTCCTAGCTCGAGTCTACACTCACTTCAGGCTTCTCTGGCTCCAGTTTCTCACGACGTCCAAGCCCAAGGCCGGGGATCGTGGGATAGTCTCCAAAACGAACACCTTTCTACCCTATGCACGCCCTGGCTTCCGAAGGGACTTGGGACTCCATCCCCACCCCCACAGTGTTGAAAGAAGGAGGTACCCCGTAGTTGACTCTCAGATCTGGATCAAATCCAGTGAGTGGTTCCAGTGCGACTGTGTTGCGGGTAGACTGATTCCTCCTTGAGGCCCCAGGGAAGCGGCCCGGATCCCCGACCTGCCACACGAGGTTCTATTCTGACTGCTGAAGCCTGCTTTTGCTCCTTTATTTAAATAAATACCCATTCTGTGCTGTACACGTCCCGAGCAGCCGAGGC